GGGGGCTGATCACCTCTCAGTTATGCTGCTAGATACGTAACAGCTTCCCAACGCCTCCGTTATACGGCAGCGTGTGCTCTGTACCTACTTGTGCCCCGATTTACCCTGGATCAGGGCTGTGTTGAGCTCTTGGGATAATTCTTTTCCATTGCTTCAGCTTTGTCCTGGAAGAGGACAGACTTTAATCAGGAAAAGAGAGCACCCTGCGCACCCCTGCGTGGCAGTCAGCAAGGCAGCGCTGATCTGACTCTGCCTCGCTCAGATAACGGAGCCACGTGGCTCCTCGATGCGCAGGTCCCAGCTTTCTGTGATTTCTTTTTAACCCAGAATTGCCAGATTACAGGTCTGCCAGCTGTGCTTCTCCAGACCACAGCCGTATCTCCCGCCTTTAGTATAACAATATCCAAGTATTTAGAGGCTCTTCACGGACACCCAGGACAATGCCACAGTTTTAACTCCTCTCTAAGCAGCAGCAGCAGGGTCAATTAAATTTGTGTGGGAAGGGGGCTCTGGGAAGGATAAGAAAAGAGGTGTCTGTCTGCTCGTGGCGAAAGCTGGATTAATGCTTGGGAGTGTTTGCAAAAGGCACAAGGGAGCCTGGGGGTACCTGCAGAGAGCTTGTTCGCGATCTCAGTGCAAACGGGCTGGGGAGTGGACGTGCAGGAGGTACGTCTTCAGCCGGGACGAGCCAAAGGAGAGGGCTTTGCCGAGGCGTTCCTTATGGGTGTGCAGCTTCATGGCCATGCTGCAGGGACAAGCCCACCAGCAGATAATAACAACCTAATTTTAGATTCACGGGCTCCCAGACAGGGTTGGGTGTTTTTATTAACAGTCACTTAAGAATCCAGGTTCGTCGGAGAGCTCTGGCAAGGAGAGAATGGAGGGTTGTAAAAGCTGGAAGTTGCCCTTGATTTTCACTGCTGAAACAAAGACTCATCCTCCAGCTTGAGTGAAAAATGAAAAGAAGCAGATCTGGTGAATGTAATCAGGTGCTGAACTAACTCTTTGTTTCTCAGACAGGCAGTGGGACGTTCTCTCTGCTGTAATTTGGGGCAATAACAGCTAGTTCTGACAACTGAAATTTAAGAGCCCTCCTGTTGTACTCCCAGCTGACAAAACCACCAAGGCTCACTCAAGCGGCCTCAGCTGCTCCGAGGTCCGTAGGCTCCAGGTGGGGTGTCCCACCTGAGTGGCTCCGGGCTCCTTTGCTAAGGTCTCCTCCACCACTCTCCTCCCAGACGTGGAAGGACACATCTGTCAAGGCCCATCTGAAGACTTACTGGTGCAGAGAACACACCCATTTGATTTTTTTCCGGTCCTTGATGCTGAAGGTACACAGCACAGGGAGAAGTCACAGCTCCAGTATTTACACCGCAGTGTCCCCGTCCTCCAGGCTCTGTGATGCTGTTGTGGTGTACTCTGCTCCTTTTAAATATCACAACTACTGATCTGCTTTTCTCCTTTTTCATTTCTTCCAGGCGCTTGTCTTTAAACAGTAACTGAAGGAAGGTGCTTCTGAGAACCATGATGTCCCTGGGTGTCAGTAAAGGTAATTCCTTTCCCTGTCCTCATCTGGGAGCTGCTCCAACCTGCAGCTCCAAAACTTCAGTGTCCATAATGATATAGAGAGTGTTTCCCCCTTCCCCAGCCTCCCATCTCCTTCCCTGCCTGCTCTCAGTAGTTTTGGCTTTAATATTCCTCCCCACTAACCTGTGCTTTGTTTCCACCCTATGTTTTTTCCGCTAGGAGGACTCAACAACTCCTGATCCATAAGCTTCTGCAGTTTCCTACTTTTTAATTTTATGTGTTAATTGCCTTTGCTGACTTTCTCAACCAGAGAATGTAGTTGTGGTTCATTGCCTGAGCAGAGACAAGGAGCAGGATGGGGATGGTGGCAGAGCTGCTGCTGGACAGCCAAAGAGAGAGACCATAGGGGATAGGACATTTCCAGATTTGCCAGAAGGGAGACATGGCTTGAGAGTATGTTTTTGAAACTGAGCTTTATAATGGAAACGTGGAAATGAGGAACCAAAGGTCGTGCCTTCTCCAGAGACAGCTGACAGCTGGGTGCTTGTATTTTATGGCTAATCCCCCACTCCTGGCTCAGCTTCGTGCTCCAGACATATCATCCTCTCCCACAAACCAAAAAAGCCTTATGCTGTGCTGGGAAGTGCCAGAGGAAGCTCACTGCTTTGTAAATATGTGATTAGACCACCCACTGAATGTCTTTGGTCTTCCTGAGAGAGAATAACTCTTTAAACAGTCCTCTGAAAGGAGAGGAAAAGTGATATGAATTGCTGGAGAGGAGGTGATGCATCGGGGTGAATTGAGCCTGGAGTTGGCGTGACAACTTGTTTCCATCTTTCACCAGAAGTGGCAAAAGACTCATTGGGTGTTTGAATCCCTGCCTGAAAGGAGACTTATGCTCTGAGATCCACCCCAGCTCACCTGCTGGTGCTGCCAGTTCTTGTCCTTTCTCAACAACCCTTCTCCTCTCTCCTTCCTTTCCCTCTGCCTCTCCCAGGAGGTGTCATCCCACCCACGGATGAGGACCGCAGGAGGATCATTAAGCAGATGAAGGTTCGCACCACCCTGAAAGGAGATAAGAGCTGGATCCACCACCATAACTCGGACTCTGAGGATGAGAAGAAGAGCAGCCCGCTGTAAGTGTGGCTACCAAGAAATGCTGCTTTTTGCCCTTCCCTTTCCCTCGTCATCCTCCCACGAGTGCTCTGTTCTCTGCCCTGCAGGGGCAGCACACGTGGTGCTGGCATGTTTTGGTGTCAGAAAATGACCCCGCCAAATGGAAGTGGTGCTCCTGTTTATTCTTGATAAACACAGGCTGAGGAGAAGCTCACAGAAGTGGTCTTTGCTGGGGGCTGGGAATCCAGCAGAACAGGCAGATTTGAAGTCTCAGGAGAGCTCTGGAGCTTTTTGAAAGCAGATTGTGTTTCATGATCTCCTGTGACAAACGAAGGGGCAGACCTTGATGGGAGGGAGTTTAAGTGAGGAAGCAGCCAGGCCGGCAGCTCGCAGGGCTGTGACACGCAGCCACCCCTGTTCCAGGCAGCACCATGATCTGCACCAGCTTCTCATTAATTAGAAACAAAACCAAGCCCAGATTGGTTTTCTCTTAGCAGCTCTGCGAAAGCATCACCACCGTGTCCAGCAAGGCAGCTCAGCAAGGTCAGAAGTTACTTATGTCATTGTCTTTTCTCTTGGCTCAGGTCTGGACGGGCCGGTGGAGGATCCCCAGCCGCAACACCTATTGCTCCCCAGAGCAACAGGTAATTCTGGGGACCTGTCCTGTGCTTCCCTTTTGTGTGATCTCATGGGAGTGGGTACAGGCTTCCCGTGGTTCTTCACAAATGTCTGCTCTTTCTTCACCTCCTCATACCCACTTCCTGCTGCCATCCTGTTGAAAAATACAGTCCGTGAGGAGATCCTGCCTTGTTCGGTGTAATGTCTTACAAACTGTCGCCTCACAGAGAGCGCAGCTTATCTCCTGCGAAACCCAGATGGCTGAGTGGATGGATCGGTGTCATTAATGCAGATGAATGGATGCCTTCAAACCCATGATCCCACAAGATCACCTCAGAGCAATCAAAGCTCTGTGTGGGAGCTTAATTTGCTTCAGGGCCAGAGCACGAGGGCTCTTCAGGAACCCAGGAGCCTGTAGGACTAGTGTCCTAAAACACAAAACTCTTGGAAAGGGCTTAGTCACATGAGAGCTCTTTGCTAGTGCCAGTTCTGGGAGAGCATTGCCCTCTCCCAGAAGCAGTTTTTTGACTTGACAGCATGTGCACATTTCCCTTTAATACTAGTGCTGCTGCTGCTGCTGCTGCTGCTGTTTTTCCTCATGTTTGATTCACTAATGTCTGCCCTTTGCACAGGTCTCCTGCCTCCAAGCCTCAGTCCGGTTACCTCATCAGGTTGGTACAGGGTGGGCACATGTCTGGGCTGTAGGAGATCGGGAGCAACATCTTTATCTATTGGGTTCTCTGTGGGTCAGGAACATCACAGTGCTCAGGGAGCACCTTGGTGAAGAGGTAGTCCTGAGTATTTTGTTTACCAGGTAGTTTGATGATGTTACCGGTCAATCAGAGCTGCTCCATGTGATACAGTGATCAGGAAAATGTTCCACGTTCGGGAGATCAGCACAGTGGGGCTTGTGTGCCTCAGCTTCCCCTGGCACACGGGCTGCTGCCCACGGAGATTCTGATGCCATCACCCTAACCAGACTGGCAAGTCCTGGGAAGCCATCCCCAAGCCTGCGTGTGAGCTGGTTTCGCTGTGTTGTCTAAGGGGGTAGGAAGGTGGGACTGTTCTCAGGACGACTCTCCCAAGGAAGGACCTTCTAATTCTTGGTGTCCTGAGCCTGCGCTTTCCTCCTGACAGGACACACTCTTAGGCCAAAGAGTGGCTCCAAGTCTCCTCATTTTAATTCCAAACTCTGTCCTGCAAAAAAATTAACATGTCTCTCTTCTCCCCAGAGGAGTGTTCACAAAAACCATCGATAAGACCTCTTCCATGCCAGATTCTTCATCTTCTAATGAAACACAAAAAAGGTACTTGTGCATCTTCCTCTTCATCATGAGAATGAGCCTTTCAGTATTGCATATGTTTCTCACTTTGGCCAGAGCTCGTGGGCTTCCACTGAGCTTCGCTAAGTCCCTACTAAGTGCTGGAAAACGTGGCTGTTCACTTGACAGCTGTGCTCAGCAGGCAGAGGAAAAAGAGAAGGCATCAAACTCCGTATTTTCCAAAGCATGGGGTGGCAGTTGGCTGTGAAAATGCTCTCATGGGTTTGGGTTTAATTTGACAAATAGCTGTGAGTCAGGGACAAATCACAGGGAATCCTTCCCAAGCTGTAACGCTTCGTTTTGATGTTCGCACGGGTGGTGAAGGGGAGGGCTCAGGAGGGTCCCGTTAACAGGTGTGATTTCTGCAGCACCGCCGCGAGGGGCCACAGCCAGAGCCGTCCTTCCTCTGGCTACAGGATGACCACCGAGGACTACAAGAAACTGTGAGTGTGCGGAGGGGAGCAGAGCGTTCTGGTGCTGCGTGGGCTCGGCGGCCCCTGAGCCGGAGGGGGAGGCTGCC